TTTTGCTTCATGTGTTTTAAGGCTCTCTTGGTAGGCACATAAAAATGTATAGTTGTTATATCTTCCTGGTTAATTATCCCTTCTATTACAACAAAATGTCCCTCTCTACCTCTGAGAATCCTCTTTGTCTTGAAGTCTACTATTAACATAAACCTTAATATCAACATAAGCTACCCACCCACTTTATGCTTAGTGTTTACACGGTCTATCTTTTTCAATTAACTTACTTTCAGCCTCTCTGTCTTGATATTTAAAATGAATCTCTGGTAGGCACACACAAGTGGGTCTTGCTGTTTTTATCCGTTCTGTCAATCTCTTAATTTTAATTGGTGTTTTTAGTATATTAACACTTGATATTGGTCCTTTCTATCTTTTGTTCCTTTGTTCTCCCTTCCCTGCATACTTTTGGATTATTGGGATACTTTTTAGAATTCCATTTTAATTTACCTATGGGCTTTTGGCTCTCTCTCTCTCTCTCTCTCTCTCTCTCTCTCTCTCTCTCGTTACTCTAGGAATTGTATCTATACCAAATTTTTCTCAGGCTAATTAGAATTAATATTGTACTAGTGTGAAATATAGAAAAGTTTCAACCATATAGGTCCCTTATTTTTTATTTTATAGTTGACACACCCACACACCATCCACCAGAGTTATCCTTCTTGCTTTAAATATTCACCCACAATTTAAAGAGCTTAAGAGGAAAAGATACCTTCAGGAGGTAAAGAATTCTGGGTTAACAGAGTTCCCCCTCACCCCACTTCCAATTGATTGTTCCACTATCTCCCGACCCCCATGAGTTCTAGTGAGAAATCTGAGGTCTTTTGAATTGTTCATTTACTGCATGTAATGTGTCATTTTTGTCTAGCTACTTTCAAGATTTTTCTTGACCTTTGTTTTTTGACATGCTTGTTCATGGTTTCTTTGACTTCATCTCCCTTGGGCTCCTCTGAGCTCTTGAATTCATACATAGATGTCTTTTACTAAGCATGAGAGGTTTTAGTCTATTATTCTTGAAAGATTTTTCTACTCCCAGCTCTTTCCCCTTTCCTTCTTGACTATAATTAAAATGTGTTAGGCCTTTCGATTGCCCCAGATTCCTGATGACCTGTTCATTTTCTTTCTCAATCTTTTTTCCCTGTGTTATTCAGATTGGATACTTTTTATTGATTTACAAGTTCACTGACTTTTGCCTCTGTCATCTCCATTCTGCTGTTGAGGCCATTTAGTGATGTGCTAAAATTTCAGAAGTTTTATTCGTTAGTTCTAACATTCAAATATCCTCTTTCAATACTTTGTCTGCCAAGATGTCCTATCATTTCGTTCACCTCAGATGTGTTTTTCTTTACCTCAGGGTTGTAATACCCACTTTAAACCCTTTGTCTCAGAATCCAATGTTTGAGTCATCTTAGTGTTTGCATCTGTGGATTGTTTCATCCTTTGAGAATGGGTTGAAATTTTTTGTTTCTTTGTGTATCAACTAATATTGGATTGTATTATGGGCAACGTGAGTGCTGTGATGTTATGTAGATTCTGGGCTCTGTTAAAAGCCCCTGAGAAATGTTTATTTATTCTTTTAGCAGGCAATGAACTCAGTGAGGTTCAGACTGTAAGCTCCGTCTCACCTTCTGTGGGGTGTTCACAGTTCAGCTCCGTGCTCAGTTCAGCTGCTTTGTGTCAGTCCTGCACATGCGTGGCTCAGGGTCAGGCTGACACTTGTGTGGGCTCCCGCACACAGCTGGCTGAGCCCCTTCTCAGCTCCCTCTCCCTGGGGTGTCTCCCTTACACTGCAGCCAGACTGGGCTCCTTTCCTCTAACCAGGAAGATGGCAGGGTTTCGATCCCACCCAGCACTGGTGTGTGGGGCTGGGGTCCACTTTGGGGGCAAAGTTCTGAGACAAAATAAAAGGAGGAAAACTCACCCCCTAGGCAGCCCTCTGCTCTAAGTTTTGACCAGCTTCACAGTTTTTATTTTGTGCAGAGTATATACTTGTAGTCAGTGTGTGTGTGTGTTGGGGGGACGGGTGCATGGCAGGGGGCTTGCACCACCCAGGGGACCAGGCTCCTTGAGGAGTTTTTACATACACGTGCATCCACGTAGGTACAACCACCTGGATCAATATAAGAAGCACTTCTGGTGCCTCCGAAGTCTCACCCCATGGCAGGGCACGCCCCTCAAGGGGATCATTGGTCTGAATTATTTAACCTGGTTAGTTCAGCCAGGCCTTGACGATACACAAACAGAACCATACGGTATGTACTTTAAGTGCCTGCTTCCTTTTTTCATTTTTTTGAACGGAACCGCTGAGAAGGTACGTAGAGGCAGTCCATTAGCCCCCTAGCTGGGCAATAACACACGGTATGGTAGGGGCAGCCCACAGTCGATTTATCTGTTCATTGTTGATGAAGAACTGGGGGTTTCCAGTCTGGGGCGCCAGGCCGGGCATTTTAAGAGGCAGCGTAGAGCAGAGAGGCTAGAAGCTTGTCACCCGGAGTCATGCAGGCCTGGCTCTGCCACACACCAGCTGTGTGACCTTGGGCAGGTCACTTGCCCTCGCCGAGCTGCAGTTTCCTCATCTGTGAAGCGGGGATTGTGATACTTCTATTATTTACAGGGTTGTTATGACGCTTAAGTACAATGAGGCACATGAAACCACTCCTGCCGCCTGCCAGGATGGACGATCAATAAACGGCAGCTCTTAAATTACCGTCGGTGGGAGGAGGTGGCAATTACGGCTGTCGGCTCTGGTGTCTGATCTGAATTCCAGTTTCAGGTTAAATGAAGCAATTGTTACCAAACACTCTGGATAGAGCTATGCAAGCAGTAAGCTCACGGTGTGTTGTCATCACTGACATCTTTCCGGAGATCATCACTGATGTTCTGATACGAAATATTAACGGCCTGTACAGCAGTCCCAGCAATAGGTTTTGCCATTTCAGAGAGAAGGGGCCTGTTTCTCTGAGACGTGGGGTGAAGTGCCCCAGGCCACGCAGCAGGAAGGAGGTGCAGCTGGGGCTTGGGTCCAGGTCGGAGCCCTGATCATTCCACATGCCTTTCGGGTGTGGGCACCCAGCTCCTCCAGGTTCCGGGCGCTGTCCCACCCCCACCCCCACTTCCCCACAGCCTCACCTTGAATGGCAGAGATGGGCGTAGTGGAGGGCCACCTCCTGATCGGCCTGTGCCCTCCTGGGCTTCCGTCTCCTGGCCAGCCCAGCATACACATGAAGCCCTGAGGGCATCAAGAAGACCAAGGTGGCAGCAGTTCTTTCGGGTGTGCAAGCCTGCAGGGCTCACAAGGATGCCCTGGGCCATCTGCCCTTGTGTCAGCCCGGGGTCCGTTCAGGACCACAGTTCTAGGGGCACCATTCTCACTGCAGCCTTGGCAGCCCATTGCCTCCGAGCTCCTTGGGTCCCATCCTCTGTGCGCACCTGCGGCCTGCCCTACCGCTTCCCCAGCACAGGGCGGTGCCAGAGTGCCAGGGCCTGAGGGCGGAGCCTCGGACACTGCAGGTGCCCGGGCGCTGGCGGGCTCATGGGGCTCTGCTCCCAGGGTATCCAGGGTTGTGTGGGGTGGTGGGACCCTCACCTGGTCTGCAAATGCCAGAACCTGTAAGGGGTCCATCCCAGCTGAGGGGCCCTGAGGGGGCATGGGGTGCAGGCCCTAGGAGGTGCTCTGGGTGATGAAGGCCAGTCTGGGGTCATTGAGCGAGAGCAGGCTCTGGCATGCTGGCCTGGGTTTGAATCCACATGGCACCTAAGGAAGGTTTCTTCCCCTCTCTGTGCCTCGGTTTCCTCATCTGTAAAGTGGGGAAAATGTTAGTACCTGTGTCACAGGGTCCTTGTGGGGACTGAGTCAGGTGGCCCAGGTGAGATGCTGCTTGGTCAGCAGAGGCTGTGCTTACGCCCGAGGCAGGCAGGTCAGGGCAGTGCCACCAGAGGTGTCCAGGGGCCACGCAGGCCTTTGAGAGGTGCCGAAGGCCTTGGGTCCACATACCAATTGCCACCCACACAGGCTGACGTCCCTCCCGGTGTCACAGCGGGGCTAAGGTCACTTGGAATCGCAGAAGGGGCGGGTGAGCTGGGGGTGGGGGCAGGACAGAGTTTCTGACAGCCGGGGCTCAGCGGCTCCCCTCAGAGAAGACCCCAGGCCTCTCCAGGTCAGGCCCAGGCTTTGTCACAGGCATGGGAGAGTTAAGGGTTCTCCGATCACCTCCAGCATAACCATCACCACCGAGTAACCCCGGTTCACAGGGTGGAGGCCTGGGGCTGAGATGGGGAGGCAAGTGCTGGGGGCAGGTCTGCGTACCCCCAGCCAGGACCAGAGGGATTAGGGGGCAAATCGCAGGGTAGTGTGGGAGGGTGGGGTGAGTGGGGATCTTGATGGCTCTTTCTGTCCTGTCCCCTCACCTTTTCTCAGCCTCAAGAGAAGGAATAGTATTCAGCAAGCACCCCAGTGTGCTGGGTAATAACCACAGAACCCCCCGCAAAGTGCCAGTCGTCACCCCTTGCCCCCCTTGTTACTGACGAGCAAAGCAGGCTCAGGGCTGCCCAGGGTCACACCCAGGGCCATCCAGCCTACAAATAATGGTGGAGGCAGAACCGAAGCCAGGTTGGTCTGACCTCCCTCTCCCCACCACTGCCTTCAGTCTCGGTGCGAAAATGAACCCCACTGGTTAAACACAGAGCTGCCATGTGACCCAGCAACTCCACTCCTAGGTATGTGCCCCCGAGAAACGAAACCACATGTCCACACAAAAACTTGTACATGTGTGATCAGAGTGGCATTACCCATAAAAGCCAAAAAGTAGAAACAACCTAAATGACCACATACAGAAAATGTGGTCCCTCCATACAATGGACTGTATTGTTCAGCCCTAAAAATGCACAAGGCGCTGAGACACGCTACTACATGGATGGACCGCGAAAACATGATGTGAAGGGAAAGGAGCCAGACACAGAAGGACCACAAATTGTATAATTCCTTTTATATGAAATGTCCAGAACAGGGCAAATCCATTGAGACGGAAGGTAGGCTAGCGTTGCCAGGGGCCAGGATTTGGGGGGTGGCAGTTACAGGTGTGGTGCTTCTTTGGCGGGGGGAGGAGGGGGTAAGGAAAATGTTCAAACATTGATCACGATGACAAATACACTCTGAATGTACTGAACACCACTGAATGGCACACTTCAAATGGGTAAATGGTAAGGTATGTGAATTAGGTCTCAATAAAGTTGTTCAAGATAAAGCAACCTAGACAATGTGGAAAGTGCCTCGCCCAGTGTCCCATCCCTTCTAGGTAAAGAAATAACTGAGCGGATCAAAGATAATAAATAATAATAATAAACGATTCAAGTTTGCACACTGAAGGGCCTGGCCCAGCACCCTGACCCTTTGGCACTCAATAAACATTGGTTGTTTTCCGCATTCTTTTCCTCCCCAAGTGCCCGCTCAGGTCCGCTTCCGAGGCTCTCAGGCAATGCCCGTCACCTGTCCTGGACCAGGTCCTGGGCTGGGTATGGAGAGCCCAGAGCCAACCAAATCACAGTGCTCGGAAGCCCGCAGCACACTCGCTTTGCTGGCGAGACACCCAGGATCCATCTGCCCCAGTGGCGTATCCGGAGGTGGGCTGCACCGTGATGACGGATGTGCGCGCCCCAGCTTGACGAGCTGAGGGATGCTGGATTCGTCAGTAGACAGCCGCTGCATAACGAAGTCACTTGAAAATCCGGTGGCTCAATCTTGAAATTGGTTTCTCACGAAAAGGGCCAGACGGGCAGCCAGGACTAACTGGGCTTTTTCCGAGCCTTCCTGCTCGGATGTCCTCATGAAGTAGCTTCCATCGGGGACCAGGTGGGGAAGGAGGAAGGAAGACGATGGGAGATGTTTCATGGCTGTGGCTTGTTGCAAGGGAGTCTGGGAAATGCGGTGTGTGGCCCGATGGCCCCGTGCCCAGCTCAGGTTCTGCCGCTTGACAGTGGAATGGGAAGGAGGGAATGTCACGTTGTGGGCGTCCAGCCGATAAGCACTGGGGCATCTCAGATCACATGTGTGAAACGAGGGTAATCACAGTGCTGAGGGCTGCCTGGAAGAGAAAATGGGGCGCAGCATGACCTCAAGAGATGGGAACTACCTCACGGTACTCCCTGCCCTGAGGTCCCCCAGGTTGGGGGCAATGGGATGGAGTGAGGGCGTCTGCCGAGGAGAGCTCCAGTGGGTGAAGACTGGGCATGGAGTGTAGCAATGGCCCTGGGAGCCCCGCAGACTCGGGCTCTGCTGCCCTGAGCTGGGCGTGGGCCAGGCCGGGGAGGCCCCCAGCGCTGCCTGCTGTCCCTGGTCCGGCCAAGCTCCTGTGGGCAATGCCCCGTCTGTGATGTCAACTCAGCATGCCCAGTGGTCACAGCTCTTCCCTCTGCTCTGGCCCCAGACCCACTGGCCAGACGGACGCTCGATACATTCTGTTTTGAAAGAAAACAAACTCTTTTGAAATTGCTGCTGGGAGCACAGACTGAGAGTCGCGCCCCCTCCCTTGGGGGCTGGTTCTTCAAGGGGACCTAACAAGGGAGGCCTCACACGGGATGACCACCCTGCCCCAACCCACCGAGGCGGCAAGGCAGGCAGGCCCTCCCCACTGTGGGCAGCCTTGAATGTGGAGATGGAGGGTACAAGGGAGACATTAAAGATGTGGAGGGAGAGTGGCTGGCTCAGATGAGCATTTCAGGAGGTTCCGGCAGCGTGGCCCCCATTAGAAGAATGCTGCAGTTGATGTGAGAGTTGAACTAGGAGCAAGATAGGGGTGACAAATGTGAGGGACATTTTAAAACAGGAATCCATGGATTTAGTGGTACTCAGACTCAGAGGGGCCCCAGGTCACGCCCTGGAAAACTGGCTCGGCCTCAGGTCTTGAAGACAGGCTCCTGTCTGGGCCCCAGCAGGGCAGGGCTGCAAGGTGGGGTCCTCGCCGTGGCCATGGTGGCCGAGGGAGGGAGAAGTGTCAGGAGCCACCTTCAGCCAGTGCGGAGCCCGGGGTGGGGGATCCCTGCTGGTGGAGGCACCCCCCGCCTTCTTTCATTCTCCAGGAGTGAGCTCTGGAGGCCGTGGGGATCTTGTCCTGCAGCCTGAAGGGTGCGGATGGCCAGCAAGCAGGGCCCCTGGGGAACCTGAAGCCAGGGGTGAGGAGAGCCAATTGGCCCAGGTCAGAAAAGCACCATCACCCAGCCTGGTCCCTCCACATGGCCCAGGGCAGCTGGGCAGAGGGACCCCCAACAGCCTGGGAGAGGCACTGACCCTATGCAAGCTGGGCCAGGGTCACAGGCAGAGTGACAGCCATAGTGACCCCCTCCTGGGCCAGGGGCTCAGCTCCAAGAACTTCTCATGTGTCATCTTGCATCCTTAAAGAACACCAGGAGATACGGACTCTTAGGGCACCACCTTGCAGATGAGAAAAGTGCGGTCCCAGGAGAAAGCAGACCCTGGCTGGAAGGGGTGCAGTGGGGGAAGGGCAGAGCTGGGATTCACCTCACCCCGGGACCCTCTGCTGATAGCTTTGTGCCAATCAGCATATGGGGGGGGATGTCTCTGTGTGTGGTGTGTGTGTGATGTGTCTGTGTATGTGCATACGTGCGCACACATGTGTGTGCATGTGTGTGTGTCTATGTGTGTGTGTGTACATGCATATCTGTGTGTGGTGTGTGCATGTGTGTGTCTGTGTGTGTGAGCATATCTCTGTGTGTGGTGTGTATGTGTAGATTGTGTGTGTGGTTGTGTATATATGTGTAGGTGTGTGTGTATGTGTGGGTGTGGGTGTATCTCTGCATGTGGTGTGCCTCTGGGTATGTGCGTGCATGTGCGTGTGTGTGCGTGTGTGTGCGTGTGTGTGTGTGTGTCTGTGTGTATGTGTGTGCGTGTGTGTGTTTTAATGAAGCAAAACCTTAGAAGAGGCAGGGTCTGGTTGGAGCTCTCTTCTCTGGCTCGCCAAAGTCCTGGCCCCAGGACCTGGGTGACTGGCCGCCTGTGGGGCGGGGGTAACGTCTCGTCTTGGAGCCATAGGCTCAAGCCAGCCCCTGGTTCTCCCAAGAACCTCAGCCTTTTCATTTAGGAAAGAGCGGGCTATGCCCACTTCTCACAGTGTTTGAGGCCTGAGCAGGTGAGCTGGGAGGGCCCTGAGGGTGGGCTCCGTGGGCAACAGGATGGGCCGGCTGCTCTTCAGGGTCCCCGTCCCTTTTGTAGTTGGCCCCAGGCCAGAGCAGGGAGCTTATGGACAGACCTGTGGCCTCCAGGCTCAGGGAAGAACATATGACTGCCTGTCTCACTGGTGGGGGTTCCTCCTACCACAGGACCTTTGCACGTGCAGACCTCCCCTCCCGCCACTTCATTCAGGTGACTCTTAGTCTTACCTCAGATCCCAGATCACAGGTCACTTCCCAGGGCCAGCGTCTGACTTCTCTGGCTGGGGTCACCCTCACAGTCCCCACACCCCGCTCTACAGGCGTTGTGACGTCACACTGCTTTACAGGGCTGTCTATTTCACTTCTGCCTCCCTCACTAGACGGAGGGCTCTGAGGGCAGGGCCCGGGCCTTCCTGTTCACCACTGTATCCCAGGGCCCGGCACAGAGCCAGGCCCATGACGGGACCTCACTACTATTTGTGGGATGAGTGAAAAGGGGAATGACTGCCACAAACCCGTTCTTCTGCCCCTTAGCCCCGGCAGCCACAGACAAGGCAGCCCAGGATTCGAAGTGCCTTCCAGGGGCAGCTCCGGGTGAGAGCTTTAGAAGGTGGAGGAGAAGGTAAGGGCTGAGGCGGGATGGCCTCTGAGGCTGGAGGGCCCCAGGGGCAGGAGGAGTGGTGTTCAAGCCACAGACTCCATCCCCAGGCTGCCTGCATGCGGCCACTGACTAGCGGAGCGACTGTGGACAGCTCAACTGCTCCATGCCTCAGTTTCCCCTTCTGTCAAGTGGGGATAGTGACATACCCCATAGGGCTGTTGCAGAGACTAAATAAGAGAGTTCGTGTGAAGGTTTCAGAACAGTGCTCAGCGTATCATAAACGCCATGTGTCAGCTTTCTTTGTTTCTTATTTGCTTCAAATTTAAAGTTTTTAAAAAATTACATCAACGTTCAAGGCACAAACTTAAAAGCACCAAAAAACAATTTAAAAAAGAAAATTTAAATCCCCAGCAGTCTCGCCACCCAAGTAACTACTTGGATTAAACGGGATTACGTTCAGCTGCGAGTAACAACCTCACAAATAGCAGTGGTTCAACAAGGTAGAAATTGGGTTCTGTCTTGAGCAAAAGTCTGGCAATGGTATGGGAGGTGGTCCCGCCCAAGCCTTCAGAGGTTGGGTTCCTTACTATTCCCTGAGATGTCACCCTAGAGGTATGGCCCTCCTGTGACCTTTTGGTCTGGAATGGCAGCTGGAGCTCCAGCCATCACATCTGTGTTCCAGCCAGCAGGGTGGAAAAAGGGACAAAGGAAGTGCATGCTCCTTAACTTTTAAGGAAGATTTTTGGAAGCTGCAATATCCCCTTCCTTCCTTCCTTCCTTCCTTCCTTTTTTTCTTTCCTTCCTTTTCTCCTTTCTCCCCCCCCCCCCATTGGTAACGTGGCCACACTTAGCTGCAAGAGAATCTAGGATATATGGGTTCTGCTATCAAAGAAGAAGGGAGAATGAATACGTGGGGACAGCCGGAAATCCTGCCGTAGTACATTTGCCATCTCAGTAAACAGCCTTCCTTCCCACTCCGGCAATGTGAGTGCGCGCACACGCGCCCACGCACGCACGCACACGCACGTACGCACGCGCACACGCACGCACGGATGCACACGCACGCACGCACACACACACATGCATGCACGCACACGCACACGCACGCACGCACACAATCTCACATACGTAGGAAGCAGCGTGCTTGCCCTCGTTGCTTCCTTCTTTCGCCCCAAAGCGGGTCACAGGTGTCTTTCCACATCCACAGAGACTCACACGGTCACTTTTGAAGCTGTCCGGCGATGCCACCACACAGATGATTCCCGCGGTATCCACAGAGGGTCAGGCTGCGGCCAGCCTCCTGCTGTGTTAACCCATATGCCGGGGTGGACGTCCTGATGGGTCATCTTTGCACTTGGCTGGAACGTTTCCTGAGCAGAAGTTCCCAGAAGTAGAAGTGCTGAGTCAAAGGGGGAGACACTGTTGACATTTGGACATGAATTGAGAAACTGCCCTTCAGAAAGGTTGCCCCAGTTGACGCTCCCCCAGCATCGCCTGGTGTCGGTCACGTGTGGGTGATCGGGGTGGAGCTGGGGATGTGCCCAGACCTGAGGCTCGCCCTCCCCCCACCCCGGCTCCTTCTCTCTACGGGTCGCTTCCCATAACTGCTCCAAATCTAGGGCTCTCTCCTACGTTCTGCACGGGGGAGTGTGCCCCAGTCCTCCAGGGGACCCTGGGCTAAGCTGACCGAGAGACCCCGCTCTCTCCAGACAGCAGCAAGGTACCTGGGGCCACTTAGGTTTAAGTTAAGCAAGGGCAGTGGCCGGGGGACCTGGATGAGGGGTGGGGTGGGCAGCCCGTGGGGGTGATCAGACCTGGCCCCTGGACCAGGCGGACGAAGAGCGCTCAGCCACCAAGGCTTGAGGTGTCATACCTGAGAGCGCTCAGGCGTGAGCCCCCGGCCTCTGGGGGTCGGCCAGGAGTTCCCAACCTCAGCCGGCAGCAGGGTTCCAGACTTAGCAAAACAGGGAAGTCCGGGATGCCCAGGTAAATTTGAATTTCAGATAAACAGCAAATAATTTTTGCTACATCCCAAATAGTGCATGGGCCGGCCTAGAAATAGAAAAGAGAAAGTTTGACTGAGAAACAGTCCCTCACGATGCAGGCAGTCCCCACTCCGCACCCTTCACCCCCACCCCCACCCCCACCATGGAGCACTTCTCATGGAATCTCAACTCCTTCCTGGAAAACATGACGGGGAGCGCACCGTCCATCCACCGCAGAGGGGTCTGGTCGTCACCAGATGGTCACCAGCAAGACACCGGCGGCGGGAACACGTCGGTGTAGCAGATTGGCGCAGAGGAAAGGCCAGGTCTCCAGCCCCAACGCTGGTGCTCCGCGGCATACGACCCGCCCTCCTCCCTGACCAAGGCTAGCTGGGCAACGGAGGGGCCCGTGACCCCGCTGACCGCTGGGGCTGACCAGGGGCCTCTCAGGCTGGTTCTTTAGGAATCTGAACTAAGAGACACAGAGACGATCGGCGATGGAGGAGTCGGGAGCTTTCGCAGACAGCTCGTGGCTGGTCAGGACCCGGCACCCACCCTGGGCTGTGCGCGCCCTGAGGATGAGCAGAGAATCCCGTCTTCAGAAAAACGGCGGAGGGGAGTGAGGTGGAGAGAGAAGCAGAGAAGAAGGGCCCTGTGAAACCCCGGCGTTCCCAGATCCCCTGACATCCAGCGGCCTTCAACTTCAGTGCGAGGCGACCTGTTGTATGAGTCTCCTGGGGCTGCCTGAACAAAGGACCCTTAACTGGGCGGCTTAGCCCAACATGATAAATTCATCCTCACGATCTGGAGTACAAAGGTCTGAAATCAAGGCATTGCAGGGACGCCGTCCTCGGAAGCCTGTCAGGAGGGGTCCCTCCTGCCTCTTCCGGCTTCTGGTGGCTTGCTGGGCCTTGCTGTTCTTCAGCCTGTGGACACTTCCCTCCCATCCTCCTTCTTTGCATGGACCACTTCCCTCTGCATGACTCTCTGTCCAAATGTCCCCTTTTCATCAGGGTACAGTCGCATCGGACGACGGCCCATCCTCGTGACCTCATTTTGACTTGATTGCCTCTGTCAAGACCCCATTTCCTATTAAGGTCGCGTTCTGAGGTTCTGGGGGTTAGGACTCCAGCATCTCCATCTGAGGGGAACACGATGCCTGCGAGCTTCCCTTTGCCTGCTGGTAACCACACCCCTTGTGCTGGAGCGAGTGAGAGTAGGTTTCTGTGCACCCAACCCAGAGCCTGACCACAGCCGTTCCTGGAGCTCGCGTTAAAGCCACGTGAGTGAAGTGTGTCTGGAGGCTGGGATGTGCTCCTAACAGCGGTGTCCCCATCAGCACCTCCCAGCAGGTAAACTGCCAAACCTTGGGCTGCAAAGCAGGGGATGAGGCAAATGGTCTGCCGCGTCTGCCTGGGAACGCCAGGTCAGCCTCTGGCTGCAAACCTCCAGGACGTGAAGCGGGGGGTGGGCTTCCGCCTGAACCACCTGACGGCTGGTCACCTTCATTCTATTTCATGGGTAGAGTCCGGGATGATGTTTGGATGCTTCCTTGCATTCTTTTCCCAGCCTGTGCTTCCACAGGCTCCTACCACCTACGGTCGTCTGCAGACCCAGTGCAGCCCACGTGCCTTGTGCCGTTTTCCTTTTCACCTTTGCTGAACTTCTATTCATCCCTCAAAACCCAGCAGGGATCCTTCTCTGGGGAGCCTTCCTTCAGAGGCACACAGTGAGGTGATCTCTGGGGACAGACGTTGCCCACATGGTGTTCTGCCTGTAGCCACAGACTCCTTACCTCACCTCTCCGAGCCTCAGTGTCCTCAGCTATAACGGCAGTGGTGGCGCTTGGGACCCCGCGGTGTGAGGCAGGTAGGAAGACGTGCGCTGTGCAAAGGCTAGTTGTGTTCAGCATGGAACTCGGGGCTTTTCCGCGTCACAGGGCCCAGCCTCAGAGTGGCCTCAGCATTGGCCAGGAGACCTCATGGACTTAACAGCAGTTCGTGTATGAACCAGACATTCCTTCTGAGGCTCAGGACACGGCATCTCCCCTGGAAGCTCTGGGGGACCAGGCAGATCCACCCTGAGGACAGAGTGGGCTCAGGGCGCACGAGGGGTGAGGGCCATGTGTGAGGGCTTGAGCGGAATTCCAGGGGAGAGGGAGCAAAGGGCAGGTGTTTTGGTAATACCTGTGGGCCAGAAGTCAGATAGGGAGGGGAGAAAGAGGGGAGGGCTCCCCACCTTCTAGCTGTGGGCCTGTGCCCCCACTGACTCTCCTGGGCCTCACCTTTGCCACTTCAGAGTGGGGACAGTCTTTTCCTGGACAGTCCCCTCCTTGGGGACTCAGCAGATGAAGAGCTGAGGGCTGCGAATGCCCTAACGGCCTTGGAAGCTTATGAATGGCGCCGAAATTTGGGGCAGGGAGCAGAAGGCCCCTGATTTTGTGAATAAAGTTTTATTGGAACCGGGCTGTGCGCATTCATGGGCGCACTGCCTCTGGCTGCTTCGCTTCTCAACGGCAGAGTCGGTTAGTTTCAACAGAGACCGCAGGACCGAGCCGAAAATATTTACTCTCTGGTCCATTACAGAAAATGTTTGCCAAGTGTTGAGGAGAAACAAAAGAATTCCTTGTCAGAAACATTCTATTGACTGAATAATCAATGACCGATAACTATTGCTGAGCGCCGGGCATTGTTCTAGGTGCTGGGCATCCGACAGTGAAGGCGACAAATGACACTTTCTGCCCTCACGGAGCTGACATCCTCGTCCAGGGGGAAAGACAGCAAGCAACATAAAGAAGCGAATCCCACGACCTGCATGTGATGGCTATCAGAGAGAAAACCAGCAGGAAAGGCAGGTGGGGGAAGGGCAATCGAAATGAAGGGGTCAAGGGTGGCTCCTTTAAGACTTGAGAAAGTGGGGGAAGTGCCACGCGGCCATCTGAGGAAACAGTGGCCCAGGCAGAGGGGACAGCCAGTGCAAAGGCCCCGAGGCCGCTGCGCGAAGGCCCGAGGAGGCAGGTGCAAGGGTGAGTGGTGGGGACCAGGACAGACTGGGAACGGCAGCCTCGCCGCCACGTAGGGATGTGCGGCCCTTCGTGGGATTTGGGTGTTTTGAGCAGAAACGTGTAGCTGTGCTAGGGCCCCCGGGGGCTGTGCTGAGAAGGGCCTGGGGTGGGGGCAGGACAGGAGCAGGGGCCCGCAGGGGTCTGCCCAGGGACCAGGCTGCCGACACTGTGGGCGTCTGCGTTTATACGTCCCTCGGAAGCGGGAGGTAAGAGGAGACAGGGTTCCAGCGTGAGCCCAGACCAGTGAACCTCAGGCCGTCTGTTTCCCCGTCTTGTGCTGTTTTTCCTTCCTGGCTTCTCACTCTAGAAGGCCCTTGAGCAGAGGGGCCACCTCCATCTTGTCCGTCGCCGTATCCACCGTTCACTGCCTACGAAGGGCTCTCGGCCACATCTGTGGAATAAAGGAACGAGTGAGGAGCGAATGGCAGGTTTCTGCTTCCTCGGGGAGTGTTAGAGGCTGAGCTGTGTCCCCTCCTCCAGGCTCCTATGTGGGAGTCCTGACCCCCAGCACCTCTGAATGTGACCATATTTGGAGGGAGGATTTTTAAAGTGGTATTAAGTTCAAATAAGGTCACTAGGGTGGGACCTAATCCCGTATGGCTGGTGTCCTTATAAGAAGAGATCAGGACGCAGACACACAACAGAGGGACAACCATGTGGGGACACAGGGAGGACATGGCTGTCTACATGCCGAGGAGAAAGGCCTCAGAGCCGGCCCTGCTGACACCTGGACCTCGGGCTCCAGCCTCCAGGACTGGGGACAGTAAGTGTCTGTGGTTTAAGCCGCCCGTCTGTGGGACTGTGTGACAGCCGCCCAAGCAGACACACAAGGAGTGTGGCATTATGGTGGGTGTGGAGCAGGGTGTGCCCTCCACACCGGGCAGGAAACAGACGCGGAGGCACAGCACTGCGCAGTGGGTGTCAAGCTGGGCAGGACCCCCATCTCCTGGGGCCCACACTCGTCCTGGGGCCACCAGGCTGGGCGGTGAACAGCATGCATGTGACCTCTGGAGGTGGTGGCGGGATGATGGCCCTGGACCTCCTGTTACCCATCTGCTCTGCTGTGACACAGGCCCCAGCACCTCTACGACACAGAGGAAAGCCAGCCAGGCTCATCAGGCATCTTCCCCAGCAGCTGCCGGTGCCCAGGAAAGGGCACCTCAGGCCTCGCGGCTCCTCCCCTGGCCTGCCCTCGGCACCCGCTGTGGATGGGGTGGGGTGGCTGGGGGGCCACGCTTCCGTGTGGCCAGGCCTGTGCTCTCCCACCAGCCACTTCCTCTGGGTGCGCCTGTTTCCTGCAGATCTCCCGCGGCTCAGCCAGAGTTCCACCCCACTCCCTGCTCCCCTGCCTCTGCCTCTGCTGGGGGGGGGGGTCTGAGCCCCAGGGCCGAGGCAGGTGGACACCATGGCGCTGGAGGGCCTGCCCACCCCCAGGCTACCCAGGATGGCTCTGGTGGAGGCTGAGGTGTGGGACCTGCTGCCTCCCGGCCGGCTTGGTGTTCCCCGTCCGGAGCTGGAGGAGCAGGAAGCGTATTTGCAACGCAATCTGTTGGCCAGGGGCCGAGCCGCCCCATGAGGGATGAGGTAATGTCCTGCAGAGGCCACGCGGAAAGGGTGGGGCGCTCCCTGGCCTGAGGGGACTCCCACGGCCGGCCGGGACTTTTCCCAGAGACCCTTAGGAGAGCGATGGCTTGGGGTGACCTCCAGGTTGGGGCACAAGTGACCTGGTGCCCACGCAGGCTCTGCTGGGACACAGTGTGACCTTGGGTGGTCAGGGCCCCACTTTGGTCCCGTTGCCTTCCACTGAGCAGAGAGGGAAGGGCCAGCACTTCCCAAGGTTCCTTAGACTGCACCCAAAAGGCAATATTTCATGGTGTCCTGCTGGCAGGGGACCACCTGTCAATGTGAAATAATATCAAAATAAAAAGCTGCAAAGAAAGAAAAAAGGGCTTGGGTTCCAGGGTGGCGGTTTCAGATGTGTGACCTCAGGAGGCTGACCTCACCCCTTGGGTCCTCCTCCACCTGTGCCCGTCACCCGCTGTGGGGACCAATGGGACCGTGGACTCAAGACCCAAATGCTCGTGAGCTGCTGATGCCATCATTCCTATCTTCTCGACTCCACCCTCGAAACGTCCCCTGCCAGTGGGACGCCTGTAGAAGCAGACCCGACCTCCAGGAGGCCCCTGCTTTCCACCGCCTGGGAGGGATCAGACACACGAGACCCATCAGAGACCCGTCGAGCCTTGAGCCTTCTCTCTGGGGAGCGGGAGGCAGGAGGGTGTGGGTTGGGGGCTGGCGGACAGGAACGGGGAGGGAAGGTCTGCAGTGGGCAGTGCAGGGCGTGGGGAGGAGAGAGCTGGGAGGGGAGAATGAGGCAGGAATCGAGGCCGGGGTGGGGGTCCAGGTGCCAGGAGGAGTCTTGGAAACAATATAGACTTTGGGGACAGCCCGGGATGGTTGGAATCCTGGCTCCCCTGTGTCTGGGGCACCCTGCACACGCCTGCATACGCCCCCTATAAACGGAGGGTGCTGTGTACTGCTCTGTCTGAAACCATTTGAAATGACAGGCAACTTTGCATTTGAGATCCAAGCTGAAAATGATTTTCTCAGCTTGTGACTCCCACATTGGCTGAGAGGAGAGGACCCCAGACCCTCGCTTGGAGTCTGGGTTCCAGCAAACCTCATCGAGAGTTCATCCACTGTCAAAAGGGGGCTCAGTGAAATGGCAACGGAGGGCAGACGGGGTGGGGGTGCATCAACGTGGAACTCAAGAACCAAAGCTGGGGTGCACTGGGTGCTGGCAAAGTGCTCACACCCTCCGCAGTTCCCAAGGGCAGCAACACACAAACCATAGGACTAGGGTGCTCATCCAGTCTGGCTTTTGGGGACTGAGGGAGTTCCCAGATGTGGGGCTTTCAGAGCTAAACCTGGGAAAGTCCAGGGCTAACTGGGGCAAGCTGTCACCTTACTAGAAACAGTGGGGTAGAAAGGCAGAAGGACTGATTGAGATCAGCCTAGAGTGGTCCTTGACTGAGTGCCAGGACAATGGGGGGAGGGTCCCAGATAATGAAGAGCCCCAAGAGACTCTAAGCAGGGCAGGTGGAATTGGAGGTTATGTTTCCAGAGTGATAACTTATATTTGTTCACCCCCAACAGGGACAACCACCCTGAATCCCCACACCCAAAATAGCAGGGGTCCACTGTGGACCCCAGCTCCTTTTCAGAAAAGGAGACGAAGTCCCAGAGAGAGACTGTGTGACATGCTTATCTGTGGCAGGCTGGGACCCTGTCTTGGGGTACCTGTCTGGCACCCTGATGTCCCATGACACTGTCACTCCCTCTTTCTTGCATACCCTCCTGCACACCTGTCCTTGAAGATGTGATGGGTTTTGCTTCCCTCAGCCACACACTAAGATGGCAGAGGACCTGTGAGAGGACCATGCTCGGGGGATGTCTAGACAATGACAATGACAGGTGGAGCTCCACGCACCTGTTTCGGTGTGGGGCCCCTCCTCTCACCACCCACAAGGCTGGCTGGGTGTCACATGGGAAGGCATAGATAAAGGCACACATGAGGGACACACATAGCCAGAAGGCCACAAATGAGCCGTTTCTGTCAGACGAAAGACGACAGCCATCAGAGGGGCCTCCTTACCGCCACGGGGCTCCTGGAGACCGACAGCTGCCCCAAGGTGGGGTGGAGGTTGCAGGGCCAGGTGCTGGCACCCAGGGCTCATCCCTGGAATGAAGGCCTTCTTGGAAGGCCAGGCTGGGTAGTAGAGCCCTCGGATGGCTGTGGGGAGACCTGAGTTTCAGACCTGCTCTGCCCCCAATCTGGGCTTGAGGGTGTGCACCTGTGAGACGAGGCAGGTAGCCCTGAGGGGTCCTGATGGAGTCTAAGAAGTCCACAGTGCTGTGTAGGAGCTCTGGGGCGGAGCCCTGCACCGCCTCTGAGGTACCTCTATTTCAAATTCCCTTTCCCCTCTCCCACGGAGCACCCAGCCCTAAGCTGGAGCCCTCAGCTGCCTGGACCAGACAGGGAGGTGGGTTCCACTCACTTCCCCAACGTGCACTCATTGCAAGGGCCGGTGGATGGAGCTTCTCCGGGCTTCCATCCCAGCAGGGCCACAGCCACCATGCATGGGCACAGGGGTAAGGAAGGCACACCCCCTCAAAGAAAAACAGCATGGTCAGGAGCAGACACGGAGGTGATGAGGGGCGTGGCCGCCCTGGAGTTCAGCGTGCACCCCCCACCCATTCCACAGCCCAGCTCCAGCATATCTCCGAGGCTGGTCTCCACGAGTCAGGGCCCTGGCTAAGTGACTCCTTCCCAGTGGAGGTGTAAGCAAGGCAGCATCTACCTTAGTCGTCATTGTTCTCTCCCCTGTCCTTCCCTTTCCTTCCTTTCCTCTCATTACTTCTAAGTACTAGAAGTACTTGGTGAAGCGCTCCCATGCCCATTTTTCTCATTAGTCAAAACTAATCAATCCCTCCCCACAACAGTGCTGGGACATGGGTGGGACCCCACTCAGAAAGCATATGCTTCATTTCCTGCACACAGTAAATGCAAGTAAATGTGATGAGAGTCATGCTGGTGGTGCTGGAGATGATGCTGGAAGTGATGCTGGTGCTGATGCTGGAGATGATGCTGGAGGTGATGCCGGAAGTGATGGTGCTGATGCTGGTGCTG